TTCTACCAATGGGAAAACAACACACACCTGATTTGCAAGTGGCCTGTGGAATAAATATGGCTCCATACAATTCATACTCAAAACCTGCATATCACACTTCACTACTTTGCATGTCACTTGCCATGTTAAAACACCAACCATATTATACAGAGGCCTCCTCACTGCATGGGGCCTTGCATACAGTCTATAGAAAACTCTGGGGCCCGCTATCATGTTTAGATGTAGCAGTCCCCAAAGCCTGTTTGGGCTCCATTCCCTGTTCTGGACCACCCCCAGGGCCTACACAGTCATGGCCTGGGCAAACCAGTGAAGATGGGCATCAGCCCAGCAAGGAAGGAAGCCCAGGACACTCCAACCTCCTCTTCCCATTTGGAAAACCCTGAGACCTGGAGACAAGATTCAGTGGCAGTGGTTCTACCCTCTGCAAGGTTCCAGTGCCCTTCCCTGTTGCCTCAATGACCCCTGAAACAGCCCCTCCCCTAGGGCTCTCTCCCCCTCCTGAGAGCTGGGATGAAGCCCTCCCTTGACAGCCACAGAGCACCCATCCTGTGCCAAGCACTGCTTTGGAGGCCAGTGATACAGAGATGACAAAGACACCCTCTTACCCCTGGAGGGACTCTCAGCCTCATCAAGGAGTCATAAATAATGATGCTAAAAAGTATGAGAACAACAAGAAGCAACAAATGATTGTGCTGAAAAGAGGGTCAGAGAGAAGCTCAAAGGGAAGATTGCAAGTACAGAATCTGACAGGAAGCCTGGAGGTGCAGATTTGTGGCAACATTTTCAATAGAACTCATTCATTCACTTTTTCAGTCACACAATATATATTTATCAAGCACCGGCCTGGATCAGACCATCCAGGACCTGGTAGCACCACGGTGAACAAGACAGCCCTGTACACACAGCAGGCCCAGCACTGAGGGCCCAGGATAGGGACTGTAAAATGGTACAATGATGTGCAGAACATTCTAGCAGTTCCTCAAACTCTTGAACATGGAGTTACCATATGACCCAGCAATTCCTTTCCTAGGTATATACCAAGAGAAATGAAAATACATGGCCACACAAACTTTCGACATGATTCAAAGTAGCCAGGAGGTGGAAACAATCAAATGCCCATCAACAGGTGAATGGAATGGATCAACAACATAGGATCCGTATCCATACAATGGAATCCTATCTTGGGCATAAAAAAAGAATGGAATAATTATACCTGTCACAACATAGGTGAACTATGAAGAAGTTTTACAAAGTGATAGAAGCCAGACACGAAAGACCACCTATTATTTTATTTCATTCACATACTAAATGCAATGGAAGTTCAGAACAGGGAAATCTAGAGAGGGAGGGAGCTGAGTGGTAGCTGCTTAGGGCCAGAGGAAGTAGGTGACAGGAGTTGAGAGATAACTAAAATTTCTCTCTCTCTCTCTCTCTCTCTCTCTCTCTCTCTCTCAGTGATAAAAATGTTCTAAAATCCACTGCAGTGATGGTCCACATATCTGGGAATAGAATAAATTCATTGAATCATATATTATCAATGAGTACAGCAGGTCCTTGAGGCTGTTTTTAAAAGGAGCCTGGCCCAAGACCATGGAATGCACAGCTTAGCAGTAATGTGGGCCTGGAACAGGAAACTCCAGCTGAGAGGACTATTGTGAAGGTGACAGAGCAGAGAGACATGGGAGACATAACCAAGGGTCCCTCTTGAGTCACAGGACTCTGGAAGCTCCCCAGGAGAAGTAGCAGGAAGCAGGCCAGCTTGAATCCCAACAGCCGCAGGACTGTGAGGGGAAGGAGGCCAGTGGGAGCTCCCAGTGGAAGGACATGTGCCCAGGGCCCAGCAGAGCCTGTGATTCCAGAGGTGTGTGCCAGGTGCGAGGGAGGGAGGGAGGGGATGGTGGGCCTCAGGAGCCTCAGTGCCACTTGCATCCCTGTTGCTCTGGACCTGGCCCCGAAACCAGCGGAGCTCCCAGCCCATTAATAACTCAGCTCTGGAAGCAACAGAAACACTCTGGCCAGGAGTACACCGAAACCTGGGATTCCAAAGAGACTGGCTATCTCTATCTCACAGAAGACTACCTGAGGCCGGGGGATGCCCCCTTTAGGTGTTTGAGCTGAATAAAAATTAAAATGATCCCTCGCCCTCACAGGGGGCCTCTCTGGCCTGCCTGCCACCCCTTTGAGACTTTGGTTCCTGAGTACCTGAGCCGGAAGCTGCCTGGAACCATGTACTAAGCACTACTCATCCCAGCAGTGGGACGCCCCCTGCTCAGGTCCGGAGATAAGCTCATGGACCTGGGTTTGTCTCCTCTAGAACATTCCAAGGACTCCCCCACTCCTCACTGTCTGGCTGTAACCCATTCTCCCTTCCTCCCATGGGGTGGTGATGACTCAAAACAGGTGAGACAAAAGCGCCTCCTGGTGGTAGCACAGTGTTCTCATTCCCTTCGACTCAGGAAACACCTCCTGAGCTTCCTTCCCCTCTGGGCCAGCTCCCTGGGTGCTGGGATACAAAAGGAACCAGCCTGGGGTGGAGGCAGGCTAAGAACCGTCTACAGCAAGCCAGAACTTCACTACGTTTGACTCTGCCTGGAGAATCCAGCTTTCAATCCCACGCAGAGTGCCAGGGAGGACAGCGTGGGAACAAGCAGGTCGGGGATGGTGGAAGGACCAAGATGGAGCTCCTGTCTTCCCAGAATGTCTCCATTTCCTTGTCCCTTATCCTCCCCTGGCTCTCAAGTACTCACGGAGAGCCTCTCCTGTCCCCACATACCCTGACCTGCTCCGATGGCCCATCCCCAGGTGCCCACTGCCTCTGCCTCAAATGGTCCCTTCCTCACTGTGGCCCCAAGCCCTCTACCTGCTGCCTCTCTCTACTAGGGTTACTTGAGCACCCAGAAAGAATCTTGGCAGGGGACAATGACTTCCTAAATGGCACAGTGATTCAGTCAGTGGATCTGATAGCAGAACAAAGGGCTCCCTTGGCCATCCCAGCACCTAGTTACAGTGTTGGGCACACAGGAGCACTCAGTGAAGGGTTATTGAAGCAAACCGCATCTAGCAGGAACATTTTCACTCTGGCCAGATGGCACTGCATGAGTAATGGGAGGAATTTGGCTTAAACCTGAAAACCTCATCCTTCCTGCAGGAAGAGGGTGCCCAATGAGAAGAGGCACTTTATCTCCCCTTGGGAGATGTTTGGGTTTCAAGCAAGTGGTCATTAGTCTGAGTGGGCAGAGGTGGAGGTATGGGCAAGAGTGGACTCAGCCTCCCCTCCCATTCCGGCTCCTTCTGTGGGGACTCCCAGCGTGCTTTCCCAGCAGGGGCAGGTCTCAGCGTGAGAAAGGACCTCCTCCCTGGCCAGTGCCTCGCTCCAGCACAAACTCATCCCCGGGCAAAACGGAAGCACTCGGAAGGCGGCACTTAGCAAAGGCTGCTCAGCGCCTGGACTGCCCCCTTTCATCCCCCCCGCACCCAACCCACACACACCCTGCCACACCACATGCCCAGGGTTCCCAGACCCTGCTCAGCCAACCAGGAGGGGGTCCCCTCCCCTGCCACTCGGCCCGCCTCCCTACTCCACAGATAGCATCATGATGACCCAGCAGTCGGCCAGTGACACAGCTGAGGAGCCACGGCTGGGCGCAGCCAGATCTCCAGGATTACATTCAGGTGGACTGACGACAGCAAAAAGAAACTGTCACGGCAGCAAAACCTCGAGCCCAGGGTTTCCAGGACAACTCCTCCCCTCTCTCTACCTGCCACCCCCTTGAAAATGTCTGAGTGTTGTGTTATGCATCATCTGGTGAAATGATACCTCAGAACTATAAAGTGCTGATGGTGACAGGGTTAGGCTTGGCTGGTCCCAGTCACCCCCACTCCACCGGTTCTGCTCAGGGATCAAGGAAGCTGAAACTTGGGACAGCCCAGGAATGCCTAATGGGATAATGAGCCACAGGAGGGGTGTGGGTTGCAGGACAGGAATAGGGAGGACTGCCCAGAAATGGAGGGAGGTTTGGGCTAAAGAGAGAGAAAAGGGTAGAGAGGACAGGAAGGAGGAAAAGGGGGAGGGAAAGCAATGGAGCTCAGGAAGGGTCCCCAGGCCTTGACAATACACATCCCAAATGTGTCCACGTTGAATCCTTGGAACGATGTGAAACAGGTCTAACTCCATATACGCATGAGGAAACTGAGGCTCAGAGAGGTTAAACACCCCTCGCCCGGCCAAGGTCACTGATATGCCATGGAATCAGGGTGATCTTTGACTACCAGCATTATTTAGAACAGTCAGGGCATGTTGATAATGAAAAACAGATTTTAGCTGGTTGCA